CCGGGGCCGCGGGCGCGCCTCGGGCGCCACGTCTGGACTGTCGGCGCCGGGAGAGGGGAGGCCCAGCGCGCCCCCGGGGCTGTCCAGCTTGCAGAGCTTGGGGGCCTCGCCCGGGTTTGGGGGCCCGGGGCCTTCGGGCCGCCGGCTCGGAGCGTAGGCCGACTTGATGTCCAGCGAGAAGGAACGCTTGAGGCGGTTGGTGTCCTGCAGGCGGTCCGATGAGAGGTGCAGGCCGCGTAGGCCCTGCTGCAGCGCGCTGGTGGCGGGGGCCGCGGCAGGCGCCCGAGGTTCCCCGCCCGCGCCCGGCACGCCCTCCCTGGCTGCGGTGGCGGCACTCTCTGAGGTAGGTGGTGGCAGCGGCGGCAGGGGCACCGTGGGGCCCGGCAGGGGCTTGGGGGTCCCTGAGGGCGGCACCCCATCACCTTGCAGGGCGGCCAGCAGCTTCAGGCTGCGTTCATACTCCAACAGCTGGCCCAGGAAGTTGAAGTTGGGTGAGATGGACGGTCGGCGGTCCTTGACAAACCTGGAGAAGGGGCTGCTCAGGGCCAGGTGCCCACCCAGCTCCAACCCCTGCCTCCCCCTACACCGAGCCACGGTGGGGCCCACCCAGCTCCAACCCCTGCCTCCCCTACACCCAGCCACGGTGGGGCCCACCTAGCTCCAACCCCTGCCTCCCCCTACACCCAGCCACGGTGGGGCGCACGGGTGCTGTGCAGACCCAGAGGGCACGGTGCGCACGCCAGGAGCTCAGGCTCCCTCTCCCCAGCAGGCACCAACAGTCAGGGGTCCCTGAAGCTCTGGACAAGCCCAGCCTGGCCCTTGTGCTGCTGGTGGGGGAGGGGGTGTCTGAGCCCTAGGCCCAGGACGGGAGGGGCTACCTGTAGGCGTCATCCGAGGACATGCCCATGGTCTTCATGATGTACGCGATGGCAATGGTGGCAGAGCGGGAGATGCCAGCCAGACAGTGAACAATGACTTGGCAGCTGGACAGCTTGGCTTTATCTAGGGGCAGGTGGCAGTGGTATCGGGGCTGGTCTGGGTTCCATGGCCCCTCCTCACCCAGACAACAGCCTTAGGGGACTCCAGCCTCCTCACCAACATTCCCAAATGCTTCTCCAGGGATCCCCCCGACCCCGGCATATTGCCTCACTCCGGCACTTGGCACACGCACACATGCACACACACACATGTGCACACACACCAGCGACACAGGCACATACACGTATGGATACACACCAGCTATACATGAACACGTGTGCACACATACCAGGTTCACATACACACATCAGTTATGCACATATGCATGCACATGTGGACAGATGCCAGCTACATGTACACACATGCATGCTACACACACTTGTTATACACATGTGTACACCCATCAGGTACACAGGCACATACACGTGTGCACACCCTGGTTATACACATGCACGCCCACCAGCTGCACATACGTGTGCACGTATGCCAGGTCCACACACATGTACACCCGCCAGCTGGGCACGGTGGGCAGGCCGGCCTCTCCCTCCTCGTGGGCCCACCCTCACCGATGAACTCCACGGACTTGTCCAGCCAGGGCAGCAGCTTTTCACAGTAGTTGTCATTGACGGGGATGCGCATGAAGTGGCTCTCGCAGATGAAGTCCGGCTTGGGACACGAGTTGCTGGCATTGAGGACGTAGCTTATTCCGTTCTGTGTCATCAGGTCCTGCAGGGCCCGGGTCACAGGTTGGGAGGAGGTGGGGGGGGAGGAGAGCTGGGTGGGGGTGGGGGGATAGGGAGGAGGGCACTTCTTTCTCTCTGCAGCTGGGTGGGCGGGACCTTGGAATCTGGGGGTGCTGGTACCCCAGAACACGAGCTGGGCCTAGCTCAGGGACTCCCAGCGAGTGTGAGTCTGGGGCCCATGGTTCTCTGCCACCCTGCCCAGCGGCCCCGAGGAAGGGATGTATGGCTGCCTGGGCGGGGCCTGTATCTTTCCCTCATCACCATTTTTAAAACATGGGATGCTTTCCGGGCTGGCCAGGGGCCCGGTGACATGAGCAGTCTGGCATGCTGGCCCCACTGAGGGGCGGGGCCGGCTGCTCACTCAGCCCAGCCCCCACTGGGCCTCCAACAAGCCCCGCTCCAGCCTGGCCAGACCTAAGGGTCCTTCTAGCACCCCCCCCACCGCCTTCTTCCACCCGAGTGCCTGGTGGGGCACGTACCTTGTTCAGGACATCCTTCTGCGAGCCCAGGTAGAGGTGAGGCAGGATCCGGGTGAGGCCCACACTGGGCACCGGCAGGCAGGGCTGGGAGAGGCTCACGGGCAGCAGGGCGGCCGGCTTGCCTTCACAGAGGCCCGGGAAGCAGGAGGAGAAGGTGGCAAAGCCCCCTGCACAGGAGGGTGCAGTCAGCAGGCAGCCCCTGGGACACCTGCCTCCAGCAGAGGCTCAGCGGGCCACACCCAGGCCCTCCCCGAGCCCAGGCCCAACGCTGCGCCTCCAGGCGCAGCACCTGGCCTGTGTCTGGATGCAGCAGATGGCTCTGACTACCGCAGGCATGGGCTGTGCCCACCCGCAGGCCACTCCAGGAACCAATTAGGGGCTGGCGTTGCTGAGGACGCTGTTGGTGATGCCCATAAATGTGGCTGTGGGCGCTGGTCAGTGAGGCTTGGGGCCCAGATGGGGGAACTCCAGGCCACAGGGGTGTCCCAGCATCTGGTTCACATTCACACAGCCTGGAGTGGAGAGGACCTCCCCAGCTCTGACCCTGTGACCTGCAGCCAGGCTGCCAAACTGCCCCCCCCCCACCCTGTTTTGACAAAATCCACATGTCAGGATGTCCAAGACCTCCAGGCTGGGCTTGGGTGCCAGCATCAGGAGGGGAGGGCTTCTGTGGGCCCCACCCTTGGGCATGACATTGCCCCCTGGAATTGGCACAGTCTGCCGGGCCATCTGCACTGCTGTTTGGGCTCCAGCCCATGACTCCAGAGAGGGTAGGGGCACAGAGGTGGGGACCTTGGGGACAGGAGCATGAAGGACACAGGACCCATGCAGGTCCGTGGCAGAAGGTCACTGTGTGTGACCACTCCTCTGACCTGAGTGGTCTTGCCCTGCCATGAGGCTCAGACAAGACAAGGAAGGGCCAGCAAGATGCATGAGAGGATGGGTCCAGGCCTGGCTGGAGCGGCCTGTGGCTCAGATCAGCTGCTTGGCTGAGCCTGGTGCCCTCCAGCTCTGGGCAGGGTGAGGTAAGGCGTGCCTGGGGCACTCCGCAGCTGGCACCAGTGGACTTTCCAGGGTGTGGCACACGGGCACACAAGCACACGGGGCTCCTGCTGCTGGCTATGGCTGTCCATTTGGGCTAAGGCCCGAGGTCCGCCCATTGGAGGAGGCAGGGCTGGAAGGGGGAAGGCGGTGCTTAGACCTGGGGAACCCTAGTGCACTTCCTACCCTCTGCCTCAGAGGAGGCCAGTGAGGAGCCTTGATGACCCTGAGGACAGAGAAGCCTGCAGGCTCAGTCTTCAACCCTGCCCAGCTCCAGGGGTCAGTTTGTGGGTACCTCCCATCAGAATACCTGCTAAGGGGGCTCCTTGAGCCCCCAGAGTAGGCTGCACCCTGGGATCTGGAGTTGGGGTCTCCATTGGGGGACTGGAGGCAGCAGCCTAGGGGCAGAAGCGTCCCTCGAGAACCTGCTGATCCCAAGGGAGGAGTGTGTGTGGATGTGTGTGTGTGGGGGGGGGGGGAGCTGGGTGCCCTGGGGGCTCCTGCTCACAGTCCAGGGCCAAGAAGCACAGGGGCAGACCCTCCTTTGCACCCCCCTCCCCCCCACACAGCTCTTTCCCAGTCTCTTAACTGCTTGGCCCGAGTGGAGTGAGTTCCACCAGGGCTGCGACTTCCTTGAGGAAAAGAAAAAAACCTCACTGCCATGGAATCCACTGGACTGGACTCACAGGGACCCCTCCTTGGGTTTCCGAGGCAGTATCTCTAAGGAAGTAGATTGCCCAGTCTTCCTTCTGAGGAGTGGGTAGTGGGTTTGAACCTCCAGCCTTCTGGTTAGCATTCATTTGCCTTAGGCACTAGGCTACAGAAGAGTCTGGCCAGAGGGACAAGCCCTATAACCTTCACAGGGAGTGCCCACGCCCCCAGGTGCTGCAGCCTGGCCCCTACACGCCTACAGATGACAGCCCCTGCGGCATTGAGGCTCCATCCCACCTGGGCACCAGGTGGCTCTGAGTGGCAGGTAAGAAGGGACAGGTCGGGCGAGGTGTGTGCACCCCACCTCGGCCACCCCCTGGGGCATCTATCTGCAGCGATGCCCCTGCTCGCTCTGCTGGGGGCAGTAGGGGGAGGAGGCAGCTTTCCTGGGGCCTTGAACATCTCAGGACGTCTCAGACTTGCGCAGAAGTGCGTGCACCCAGGTCCTGCGCCCACTAATCGCGGCCACGACCACAGACCAGTGCACTCCTGCCCAAGCCCCGGCGGTCTCCACTGCGCAGGGCCTGTGCCCACCACTTGGGACCTGAAGCTGGCACCCGCATGGGACTGGGGCGGGTGGGGGCCCGGGCACTCCTCGTTGTCACCTGGGCTGGGTGTTGAGGGCAGCAGGGATGCCTCTGCGTCTGTGGGCAAGGTGGTGGCAGTGGTGACTTTATTAGCCCACATTCCACAGCAAAGTGCACTGCTTAAAGGGCCAGGCTCCCTCTTCATTCCTGCTGCACCCCACCCCCCACATGGAGAGAAGTGCAGCTGGGGCAGCTGCCCCAGGGCCCTTTCCTGCTTCCCAGAGATCCCCATCTGAAGGGGCCAGGTCTCCCTCTGCCTCTCAGCGCATGGAAGGATGAGGTCCTTGTGTTCTGGCCTGTGCTTTCCAATGACACCAGTGTCCCCAGCAGGTGGTCCAAAGACTGCCCCTGGGGCCGTGGTCCTAGAGCAACACGTCTGCTTTAAGAGTGGACCCAGCCCCTCTCCACTCAGCCTGTCCTTCCTGTCTTCTCAGGAGCTGTGCCCTCCTGGGAGGGGGCTGCAGGCAAAGCCAAGAAGCTCCCCGGAACCCAGGATCCTGATTCTGTGTCATTAGGGCTCACTCCAAGGCCACGTGGGGCTGCGACCCCATCCCAACTTGGCCCAGGGGCTCAGGGTCTGGAGGGGCACAGCCAGACCCCAAGTGAGCCCAGTGCCTCTTTTCCCTCCACCCCAGCCCCTTCCCCCAGTGGAGGCGGGGGAAGGGGAATGGGGATGGAACCAGCCGGGAATGCTCTTCCTCTCACTGATGCACCCTCCCTCTCATGGTTGGGCACCTGCCATGACCACCTACTAAATGACAGGTGAGGACACAGCAGCTGTGAGCACATGGCACGCCCAGCTGCCCTCTGGGGGCCCACTGTGGGAGAGGAACCCAGGCACAGCAATCTGACCAAAGCAGGAGGCCAGGACCAAGCGTCCAATCCAGGCAGGCTCCCTGGAAGAGAGGGTATTGGTACTGATCTTGAAAGGATAAGTAAGAATGTGCCTAGAGGAAGACCAAGGACCAGTGGTCACAGACTTTGAGAGGGAGTGTGACATGCAGTGGGCTTGTTGCCCCACACCAGGCCCACGTCCCTCCCTAGGGCGGCAGGGCACTCTGGGAGAAAGTACAGGCTGGGGGCGGGTCCTGGGAGTGGGAGCTGGGGAGGTGAAGGCCCTGTTCTGGCTTCAAGGTGTCTTCACAAGGGAGTCCCCGGTTGGAGGCATGCTGAGAGGTCTGGGGTCATGAGGGGTATCAGAACCTGAGAGGGAGGCCTGGGCAGAGACAGATGGGGCCAGTAGAAGCGGAGAGGGCCTGGGACAGGGTGGCAGAAAGCAGAGCCAGGATGGGACATCCAAGAGCCACAATTGAGTGGGCACCTGTGAGCAGAAGCAGCCAGGGGGTGGTGGGCAGGGGGAGGCCAGGATCAGTGGAAGGAGGTGGGGCCAGGATGGGGAGGGAGGGAGCCTGGGAAGGGGTGGGGGAGGCCAGGATTGGGGAGGGGTGGAGGAGGCCAGGACAGGGAGGGGCAGGCATAGGGGTGCCTCAAGGCTCCTGAGCGGCCTCCTCTAGCTCAGAGTGACCAGCTGCCATGGTGGGGTCCTGTCTGGAGAAGGAGGGAGCGAGGGAGGGCTGCACACAGGAACCTCTGTCTGCACCCTCTGTGCTGGGTGTGAGGGTCTAGGTGGGCCCCAGCCAGCCTTTAACAGCTCCCTCCAGGGCCTGGGAGCTGAGGGCCAGGGGAGGCGACCAAGGGGGGCACCGGAGTGACCAGCTGGATGCCCAAGCTTGCCACCTCCAGGACAATGGAGGGGAGGGGATGAGGAGTGCTTGCAGAGGGCCGGATGTGCCTGGTGAGAAGCAGCTGGGGTTAGCACAGGGACTTAGGGGAGGGAACCTTGGTGCCCACAGTGCTCAGCTTGGGGGTGTCACACAGCACACCCAAGATTCATGGTCCTAATTGACAACCCCCTATATCCTGTGTGGCCATGGAAAGGGGCTGACGTTGACTTTGGCTGGTGCCCAGGGCAGAGGGTCAGCTCTGTCCCTGCTGCTCTCTCACCAGGAGCCTGGGCAGGACCCCTCCCTGCCTCAGCCTCAGCTTCACCATCGACAAAACCCACTGGAAAAACACGTGTGGGGAAACCCACGTGCAGGTTCAGTGCGGTGAGCAGACTGTGAGCCCCGCCCTGGCAGAGCAGGGCACAGTCCTGAATACAGTGAGCGTCTTGGGGTGAACACCCACTGCCTGGAGTCGATCCCTACTCACAGCGCCCCTAGAGGACAGAGTGGAGCCGCCCCACAGGGTCTCCAAGGCTGTCAGTCTTCACAGAAGCGGACTGCCTTTCTTTCTCCAGAGGAGCGGCTGGTGGGTTCGAGCTTCCAATCTTTTAGTTAGCGATGGAACACTTTAACAATTGTGTGACTAGAGCTCTTTATGGGATGACTATTGCCCCTAGCCCCAGTACTTGTGAAGGTGACCCTCTTTGGGAATAAGGTCTTAGATGTAGTCAATCACTAAGGCAGCAGGTGAGTCCTAGTCTGAGCAGGGTCCTTATTAAAGAGGAGGGGCACAGAGACACAGAGGGAGACCACCTAGTGATGATGGAGGCAGAGGGTGTGATGCAGCCACAAGCCACAAGCCGGCCAGCCCCAGGGGACCAGAAGCTGGGCGGGGCAGGAAGAGTCCTGCCTGGGGCCTCTGAAGGGAGCATGGCCCGCCTGCACCTGCCCCGAGAACTGCGACAGAATAAATCCTGTTGTTTTCAGCCCCACGTGGGTCGCTTTGTTGCGGTGGCCTCAGGAAGTTAACGCAGCAGGAACAGGTGGGGAAGGCTCCCTGTGCCCTGGAGCAAACCCACACCTCTGGTCAGCAGCTCCTCTCGTCACACGGCCTGCCCTCACTCTGCCCATGACACCAGTGGACGCCGTGTCCCGCAGCCACTCCAGTCTCACCCCTGTCTCAGAGCCTTGGCTCCGTGGTCCCTCTCCTGACGCACTGGAATCACCTCCTTGCAGGGTCCACCTTGAGCAGCTTCGCTGAAGTGACTAACAGACCCCAGCCCCTCTGGGGCCTGTCACCATGAGTGCTGAGGCCCCAGATGTCAAACGGACAGGTGGACAGGAGTATTCAACTGCTGTCTGACGGGAGGGCCTTTGACGGCATCTGCACCCCCATGCTCACCCTGCACCTACCACGCCCCCTGGCATGGAGAGGCCAGGTGGCAGGTGTGTCCTCAGAGGGCCCAGACCCCAGCTGGCAGGACACACCTCCCAGGGCAGACCAGCTCCATCTAGCTCTGAGTCCTGCCCTGGGCAGGGCAGAGAGTGGTGTAGATTTTACAGAAGTCCCCTCAGTGTGGACGGAACCATCCAGAACCTCCACGGAGCCAGCGCGTGCGTGTGTGTGTGTGTGTGTGTGTGTGTGTGTGTGTGTCCGCTTGCGGAAGGGACTTCCTAGCCTGGAGCTGGCCAGGCTGCTTGTGGGCAACCAGTCACCTGGGGGGGCCTCTGTGCATCTCCCTGGCAGCAGCCGTGATTGGCTAGGGTGTTGCTAGGCAACGTGCGCTGAGCCCGGCTTTCCCGGGATTTCCCTGGTGTGGGACCCGCTCGGTGTCAGAACGGCCTTTCCAGATGGCGGGGTCGATGCCTCCGCGGGGCTGTGAGCTCAGAGAGTGGCCCCTGAGCCGAGCCACCTTTGCCCAGGCCCCACGCCCTTCCTGCTGTGAGCCGTGGTCGGCGTTGCCTCCTGCCCACCTCTTCACCTGCCAGCGGCGGTGGGCTGTGTTGGAGGGGCGCTCCAGGGAGGGACGGTGGAGACCCCGACGCCAGGAGGGAGAGGCCGGGGGCGCAGCCGGGGAGCTCACCCGTGAGAATGGCGACACTGTCGAAGCAGCCGTCCAGCTTGCTGAGGAGGAGGGACAGGAAGCTGTCCGCGGCCAGCACGCTGGCGTCCCGTGTGCTCTGGTCATAGACCACCACATCCTGCGGCCCTGCGGCCTCCACCTGGGGACCGGGAAGGCAGAGGTCAGGGCCCTACGCCTGACACGCTCCCCCACACCACACAGGCGGCCCCGGGGCAGGAAGGGTCACTCGCCTGGTGAAGGGAAGAGTGAGGGAGACGGGGTCGGTCTCCCAGAAGCGCGCCCAGGCGCATGTGGGCAGAGGGACTAGCGCACTGGCCTTGGGTCAGGCTGCCTTCCCAGGTGGCCGAGGCCAAGGGAATCCTGCCCCAGGGTCTCTGGGAGGCCTAGCTTGGGATGCGAAGGTGGGGGGTTCCCCTCCTCCCAGCCATGGGAAAGCCCAGGGCTGCGCCGGCCCTCTGCCCGCATCTGGGCTCGTCCCCCTCCCCCAGTGCCGGGTGGCCGCAGGGGGCCAGATGCGCCGCCCCCAGCACCCGCGGAGCTGCCAGCGGCTGATGATGTCATCGGCAGCCAATGGGCTTGCGCTCTGGCCGCGTCCGCCGCTGGGCGATTAGTCACTGAACGGATTCCCTTCTCTGGACCTCGGGAGCTGGTCTGCCGGGGTGGGGGCCTCCTGCCGGGCTGCCCCTGCCCACAGACGTGCAGGCACTCCGTCCTCCCCCAGGGCTCAGGGGTGGCGGGTCCTGAGCCGGGGGGGGGGAGCTGCTGCGCTCCCAGGCCCACTGGCCCAGTGGTCCTTTCCCCAGAAGCAGGACTCGGTGTTCCTGGGGAGAAGTGAGTCGCCCCCCCAGGGGACCCTGACATTCCTAGGAGCCACAGACGGGAAAGGGGAACCCGCAGGGCAGACAGGCAGAGGTGTAGGGCAGGGATGAAGGATGGGTCGAGCCCTGGGCGCCACTTGAAGACCTGAGGGCTCTCTTGACCACCAGTTTCCATGTCACATGGGAGAGCTCATTCAGCAAGTTACCAACACACACTTTCCTATTTGGAAGCCTCCCTGCGTCCAGGAAGGAGCTCTGATGGTGCAGTGGTTAATGCATTGGGCTGCTAGCCAAGAGGTCGGCCACTGAACCCACCAAATGCTCTCGGGAAGAAAGATGAGGCAGTCAGATTTCCTAAATATTGACAGCCTTGGAGACCCTGGGGGGCAGTTCCACTCTGTCCTCTAGGGGCGCTGTGAGTCAAAATAGAGACTCCACGCAGTGGGTTTGATTTGGGCTAAGGCATTTGACTGCCCACCAGAAGGCTGGAGGTTCAAACCCACCAGGCCCTCCTCAGAAGGCAGGTTCGGCAATCTACTTCCGTAATGATACTGCCTGGAAACCCAAGGAGGGGACGCTATGGGTCAGATCTGACTCCAGAGCAGTGAGTTTGGTTTGGTTTTGCATCTGTGAAGATTGACAGCCTAGGAAACTCTCTGGGGGCAGTTCCACTCTGTCCTCTAGTGGCACTGTCAGTCGTAAATGACTGTGAGGCAGGCGGCTTGGTTTTGGAATGGGTCAAGGCAGACTGTGAGTTTGCTCTGCTGAGTGTGAAAAGAGAAGCAACTGAAAACAACGGCTTTGCGTGCATCCCAGGCAGGTGTCATCAGTGAAAGTCAGAAAGGTGCAGGAGTCCCTGTCACGGAGTGCCGTTGTGTGTTGGGGACATGTGAATGAGCTGGACTTGTATCTTTGAGCTGATGCCAGGGTAAACTGATCTAAAAGACGGTGTCCGATGTTTGCACAGGGGCACAATGTCAGTGCTAGCCATAGGTACTGTTTTCCAGAGATACGCGTCTGGGGGCAAGTGTGAGAATCGGGGGGCTGGGCTCACGACTGCTCCATGTGACCCATGGCCACCCGGGAGGCCTCATCCCCTCTAAGTCCTGCAGACCCAGCGGTTCTGTCCCCTGTGTGCATTTGAGCTGTCCAGGGCCCCCTACTGCCTGCACCCTGTGTGTGCACCCACGCCTGACAGACTCATTCACCCCACACCCAGTGCTCGGCCCGGCAACGTGGCACAGAAATGCGCAAGCCCAGGACCCCTCGGGTGCTGATGGGAACCCCGACAGGGCCAAGTTTCTGGGTGGGATGGAGGGTGGACTCTGGGAGGACGGTGTCACCCTCTAGGGAGGAGTGTCAGTGCCGCTCTGTGAGGTTAGCATGGGTGGAGGAGGAATGACGACTGGTTCTCAGCAATGCTAACCACGGAAGCCCCGTTCAGGTGTGAGGGGCAGAGGAGGGGTGCTGGCTGATCCAAGGGCTCAGGCACTTGGCTGGGAAGGAGCCCTGGAGGAGGTGGGGAGCTCTGGAGAAAGGGGTAACCGAGGAGGGAGGAACGCCGAGGAGGCTGGTACCTGGCTCCGCGAGGCCGGCTGGACGAGCTCCGCTATGGTGACCTTGCCCTGCTGCAGCCTTCGTCTCACCAGCTTGGAGCAGCAGATGTTGACCGAGCTGAGCACGTGCCAGCTGCTGTACTCCACGAAGGAGCGGCTGTCGATGACCAGCGGCCCCCCAGGCCCGCCCCGCAGCAAGCTGGCCAGCTTCTTGGCGTCCATCACCTTCCGTGGGAGCCGGTCCCCAGCCATGGTGAGCAGTGGGCACAGGAGGGAGGGACTCCTGGAGGGAGGAGGGGCTGTCCGATGGCCCGGATCTGGCCTAGAGCTTGGAGTGACTGGGCATGGCGCCAGACCTGTGGGGAGAGATGGCGGTCAGCAGGGCTGGGCCCTGGGCCAGGGCGCTAGCCAGCCCACAGACAGGGCCAGCCTCCAAGGGGCTGATGGTGGGACCCTCGAGCACCCAAGCATGTTCCCGTGGGGGCTGCCGCTCTGGTCTTTCAGGTGAGCAACTCAGACTCTGCCACCTGTGCAATGGGAAGTCTTCAGGGGAGAATGTGTCCAGCCCTGGCCCGGTCACCCTGCTGGTCTCCAAACTCCCATCATGTGCTCACTGGGCCAGGCAGGAGCAGGCTCGATCCTTCCTCTGGGCTCACACCCCCTGGCACACGGCCCCGCCCGCAGCTCCTGCACACCCATCCCTGAGACACAGACCCCACCCCTCTGGCCTCATCTTTCCACTCCCAGGACCCTGGCTGAGGCAGGGGCCTGGAACAAGCCCCATCCCCTCTTCTCAGCTCTGAGTTCCAATTAGCTAGCTGGGCCTTGAGGCTTCCCCTTCCTTTGCACGCCATCCTCTCCATCCCAGGCGAGGGCAGCTGTCAGAGGCCCTAATCCTGGACCCCGGTGGATGGTGGGGGGTCCTGGAGATGGGGGCCAGAGAGGGGCTCAGGAGGGCAGGAGGATCTCCTCGGCTACCACCATGGTGCCATCTAGCAGCCCGTGTGTATGTGTGTGCGCGTGTGTGTGTGCGCCCACGCGTATGTGCGCCTGTCTCCCCCAGGTGTGCCACGCGCTTGAAGGTGGGTAGCAGTGGGCAGGTGCCTCACACAGGGGAGGCCTGGCTCTAGGGCTGGTGGATCTCAGGTGGGCCGTGGTGGGGCAGACAAAGATGAAGTTTGGCATACTTGGGGGGTCTCAGCATGGTCTCCCAGCCTTGGGCTGAGGGGATGGTGGAGGGAGGAGGGGCAGGGGCTGGGAGATCTGTGGACTGCAGGCCTGTCAGGTGAAAGACCCTCCTATGCACTTGGTGGCCAGCCTCTAGCTCCTGTCAGTCCCCATGTCCCTTGCCACGTGCCAGGACTGGCCCTTTTCTAGCCCCACCTAAGCCTCACAGGCACAAGGAGTTTGCCTTAAAGATGGAGAAACTGAGGTTCAGGGAGGGGGTGGGACCAATGCAAGGTCACACACAAAGAGGCTACATGAAAGTAGGGCCCCAGTCCCCCCAAAGCCCACTCCCCTGGGCCTCTCACGGCTGCCTCCTGATCAGGGTCTTCCCCCAACACCACCCTAGGGTCAGGTGTATGCTGGGAGAGAGATGGACCCCCAGGACCCCCAGAGAGGAAACCGTGGTGGGCAAAGCCCTCAGCTGTCAGCTACAGAGGGTGCTGGCTGGCTCTCTGAAGACACCACGTCACACTAGGTACGACGCCACTGGTGGCAGCTGCCACTGTTTCTGGACCACCCCCTCTATGACCCCCAGGCTGGGCACCTCACAGCCATTACCCCTTCTGCCTGAGAACTCTCAGGGTCTGGAGTCACAGCAGAGAAGGTCCGGGTGGGGTGGGGCGGGGCCACAGATATGGGCCACCAACACTGCCAAGCCGCCCCACATCACTCGGGTGGAGGGACCTGCCAGGGGCAGGGAACAGGGAGTGGGGCTCCAGAGGGTGGGCCAGGGCCAGCCTGGCTGTGGGCAGGGGCTGGTGGGTGGGGACCCAGGAAGGGAGCTCAGAGGGGCAGTGTGGGGTGAGGGCCTGCTGGGCTGCGGGCAGTGGGCAGGGGCTGGAGGGTGGGCACATGGGCCCTGCGGTCTGGTACCTGGCCAGGTCTGTCTCCCGAGGAATCCTCCCAGCTCAGCCCTATTAACTGTCACAGTATTGTTATTTGCAGCCGAGGGGGCTCATTAGCAAGTTAGCACCTCCACTGTCGCCATGGCAACAGCAGAGGTGCCAGGCAACCGTGGCTCCCTCCGCAGCAGCCACTGAGCAGTCTCGGGCGGCTGCGGATTGGCGAGAGGCCCCTCCCCTCGCAGGTGCCGGGAGCTGGGGCTTCCCAGACCCTCTCCTCCGGCCAGGAAGCCTTTCCAGGGACAGCCCTGACCCGTAGGGTCTCCTTGGACAGAGAGCTCCTGCGGGGGGAGGATCCCTGCCCTGTAACCTCCTCCACAGCTAAGGGACAGGGCTCAGGCCTGGGGCGGGACGCTGAGGTCGGCCTCTCGCACACCACGGGGGCCAGAGAGACCCAGGTGGAGCAGGGGAACGTGGTTAGATAGGGCTCGAGCCTGCTCTCAAGGACCTTGGGCCTGGACCCCCAAACCACGCTCCCCCCTTTCCAAGGACAGAGAGGGCAGCTCCTTGGTGTGGGTGGGGGAGGCAGGGCGGGGTTCCCCGAGCACAGCCCCATCTGACCTGGTCAAAGGACTTTGAGCCCAGAGGGGAGCAGTTCCCAAGACCAAAGGCAGAAGGAGTCACCTCCCAGGCTGCCGTGGGGCCTCAGTCGTCCCCTCCCTGGCTGGGTGCTGCCTGGAGGCGCGTCTGGGAGGCCCGGTGCAAGCAAGCCTGGCCGGTGCCTGCCATTCGCTGACTCCGTGCACCTGGGGCCTATCGAGCCCCCATGTGCTACTATTCACATGTGTACACATACTTGTGGTCAAGGGCCACAGGCCAGGAACACACTCATATACCCAGGACCTCCGACTCCACGTGCCGGCCCCACACCTTGTCACACAGCGCCTCGTGACTGGTGCCCCGCCCCTGTGGCCTGTTAATGTTCCCCAGCACGTCTGCCACCGGTCACGACCTGAGCCTACACTCCAGGGTCTGAGGGCACCATCCTTGCCCTGCCACGTCCTGAGGGGCACCTGTCACATGTGGGTCAGAAAAGCAGATCAGGTGTCCCTGAGCTGACTTCCACTCTGGGCGCCCGAGTGCATCAGGGGAGAAGCGACTTCACAGGGTTTCCAAGGCTACTCCTTTGGAATCGGTCACCAGGCCTTTCTGCCCAGCCACCTCTGCTGGATTCAAGCCTTCTAGTCAGCAGAGAGTTCTTAACTGTACTCTCCCGGGTGAAGGGGCCAGCAGTGGAGGGAGCTGAGGTGCTGAGTGCCCTCTCACCACCGGGAGAGGGGTGCAGACCTGATTGGGCTGGGCCAGTACTCATGAGGTCGGGGGCCTACCCCTCACCCACTTTCTCCAAAACCAAACCACACCCACTGCCCTGGAATTGATCTCGACTCACAGCGCCCCTAGAGGACAGAGTGGAACTGCCCCACAGGGCTTCCAAGGCTGTCAGTCTTCAGGGAAGCAGACTGCTTCATCTTTCTTCTTTCTGGGGCAGGTGATGGGTTTGAACCGCTGACCGTTTAGAAAGCAATCAAGCTCTTTAACCACTGCCTCAACAAGGCTCCCTGCTCTCTCCATGGTCTCCAAATAGCCTTGCCCCTCTACCCTCTTTCTGCACCCTGGGGTGAATGGGAACAGGATCCAGCTGGCCCCTGCTCTGCCCCAGGTTCCGCCAGTGGGGGACCAAGCAGAGCCAGCTTGCCTGGGACAAAGTGGGGTGGAGAACAGCTGGGTTAGCGGGGACACCTGGGACAGCCCAGGCCTTCTCCCCGCCACTGTCCCCCATTACACACCTGGGACAGCCCAGGCCTTCTCCCCGCCACTGTCCCCCATTACACCACCTGGGACAGCCCAGGCCTTCTGCCCGCCACTGTCCCCCGTTACACACCTGGGACAGCCCAGGCCTTCTCCCTGCCACTGTCCCCCGTTACACCACCTGGGACAGCCCAGTCCCTGTTACACACCTGGGACAGCCCAGGCCTTCTCCCCGCCACTGTCCCCTGTTACACACATGGGACAGCCCAGGCCTTCTCCCCGCCACTGTCCCCCGTTACACCACCTGGTACAGCCCAGTCCCTGTTACACACCTGGGACAGCCCAGGCCTTCTCCCTGCCACTGTCCTGAGCGGCCAGCAGAGTTGGCCTCAGCCCTCACATTCTCGCGGTCAGTGTGCTGCACCCTCCTGTTCCGGTGTAGCCCTCCTACTGTGCATGTAGGAGATGCCTCCAGGGCTCCCTGTAGCTTCCTTGGATGCAGGTGATGTCTCCTAGGGCCCTGTGTCCATTGACACCTTCTGAGCCCCTACATCTCCACCACCTCAGCAGAGGTGAGGCTGGCAGTGGTTCTGAAGCAGGGGCCAGACTTGAAGCATCTCCTCACACACTCGCTGTCCCCTGAGGCACCTCCCCAAGGACTGACGCCCTGAGGGGAGTGGGACTGGCCCAGCAACTCTCCTGCCTGCCCTAGGCTGACTGCAGCAGAAGGTATTTCAGTCAGATTCCAAGAGGACCTCCCAGCTCCTAGTCATATGATCAGCCCGAGGTGGTGGGTGCTTGCTAACCATGTGCAGAGTGAGTCCTGGGCCACAGCTCTGCCTGCTACAGACAGCCTTGGGCAGCCCCAGGGAGCCAGAGGGTCCCAGGGAGGAGACAGGAGGCCCTGAGATTGCCACGCAGCCTTCGGGGCCGGGGCACAGGACATAGGACATGCACTGCCCCCTAGCCCGCACATCAGGGACCACTGCAGCCACCACGCCGGGCCACCTCTCTCCTCCATTGCAGAGCCCCCACCCCACTGCAGCATCTGGCCCACTGCCCTTGCAGAAGGCAGCCGATGTTTGCTACTGGGAGCCAGAGGCTAGGAACGAGACCCCGTCGGGTCTGGGCCTATTGTAATCCCCTCCCCTCCAGGCCACAGGCACCCCCAGGTGGGCAGAGAAGCAGAGGGAGGCCGGGGCCTCAGCCTGGCAGTGCCAGCCCCTCCCCCCACACCGCGCCGCCTCTGCAGCAGGCGCCCTCTTTATTCTGCAGAACCGGCTGAGCACCCCGGGGTGGGGGTGCCTGGTGGCCGGAGAGGGACTCTGCGTCCTGCCCAGCCTCCTCCAGCCTCCCACGGGGCAGAAGACCTTG